AAAATCATGCTCCTTTTTATAAGTCAAAAAAAGCATGACCTTCTTAATGTTATTAAAATTTCAAAATAAATTACTTTTTGTGATTATTTAACTGTAATTTATTACCAAAGAAGTTAATGGAATGCTCTTACAAGCCCCTTCAGCTGTCGTTTTAGGTAATACACTTTTTTTGTTTTGTTTTTTCCCCAAGAGAAGAATTTTATTGAAAATAACAGTAAGTTTTTAAGCTGTATTTTTTTAAATAGGGGCAGCTGAGAATTTCACAAAAGTACTAGGTTTCAAATGCTTGCTTTTTTTCAGCCTTTGTATATACATCTTTAAGTCAATATGATGTTCTCATATTCTTTAATTATCTACTTTCATTATTTGCGTGAATTAGCTGTGCAAATTTTTAATTCCCCACTTGTTTTATGTATTTGTTTATTTCTATATAACTAAGCCTTTTGGCTGCCATTCTTTAGCATCCAGGAAATACAAAATACTTCCTCTCAAGGAACAGCTAAAGAACAAAAATTATGCTTTAAGGACTCTGTGGAGCACATTTCCAGGTTCAATACGAGCGACATGGATTATCCCCCATTTTGGATAATCTGTCTTATTTTAGGGGCTATCATAGACTGCTGTTAGAGTAGAGGATAGTCACACAGATTGTGATGGCCCAAAAATGGATCATATAATTCTGGTGTGCTCTTTCTGTGTAGTATGTGCTTTCCACTAGAAATACAACCCTTTAAAAAATGGCATGTAATACAAACAAATTAACAACATATTAATTAAAAATATTGGTCTGCAGTAGAATTTTCTAAATGGTGCCTAATGCTCTCCTGTGGAGCCCTAGTGGTGCAGTAGTTAAAGCGACTAACTGCTAACTGAAAACCGCCAGTGGCTCCGTGGGAGAAAGATGCGACAGTCAGCTTCCATAGAGGTTTACAACTTTGGAAACCCTGTGGGGTCAGTATGAGTCAGAATTGACTAGATGGCCGTAGGATATGCTCTGTTAAGGAGTCCTGGTGGGGCACAGTAGTTAGGTGCTCAGCTGCTAACTGAAAGGTTGGCAGTTCAAACTCACCAGCTGCTCCGTGGGAGAAAGATGTGACAGTCTGCTTCCATAAAGATTACAGCCTTGGAAACTCTGTAGGGCAGTTCTACTCTGTTCTGTAGGGTCGCTATGAGTCGGAATCAACTGGAATGGCAACGAGTGTAATCCTTGCCTTGAAGCCTTGAAAGCCAGAGGAAACTCTTCATCCCCTTTCCTCTGTTAGGGCCTTCCTTTGTTCTCAGGATCCCAAGCTCAAGCTAATGCTTTACTTCATAAGACCTTAAATTTTATGAATTAAAACAGCCATGGTTGAGGTAGCCTGGGAAGCTGACCACCATTTTAACATTATTTCCTTGTTCAACTTCACTTTGCCTTCCAAACAAGTGATTTAAAATTGAATTTATTGATTGCATTTCTTGGAGACCCTGTATATTTCTGTCCATCCCCCATAATTCCTACCACAATCCTCTAATGACTGCAGGAGCACACAGTTGCTTATTGAATGGATGAAATTTCAATGTAATTTTTACATGAATGTTTTAGACCTATAACTAGCAATCAATATATTTTTTAAATAATTGATTCATACTACTACTCCTAAAATAAATCTATAAACATAAAGTGAAATCCTACGGCAGTGTATTTGTATCTTACATCTTTAAAAATCTTACTAAATTGAGAGGGAAAAATGCTTAAAATATGTTTTTGTTGTTATTTTATTCTAAGATTTGGTAGCAATAATGTACTATTTATTGGGAAAAGAATGATTTTATTTGCTGCTTATGAATTTACGTGTCTTTCAGTAAAGTGGAGCTACCGGATTTAGAACACACATTATATATAGTTTCGCAGAAGGGTTATGGGGAAAACACAACTATGATAATTCTCATTTATTGACAGTTTTAGTTTGTGGCAGATGCCATCTTAATTTTCACATTAGGATACCATTTTGTGAACGTGAAGGCACAGATTATTCCCAGTGGGCTGGTGACTTCATTTAGCCTCTCACTGCCTTTTATTTTATTGTGGGTACATCTGGAGACCCATTATCCTCCCACAAAAGGGCCCTCCAGTCTGTTAAGTAATAACAACTTTTCTTACCCTGAAACAATGAAGCATCAGATGATGGCAACCTCAGAAACAAAAGATCCCCATTCCCTTTCAGAGCTGATTACAGCTGTGATTCCCCTCCCACTCTGGTGAGCCTGGCACTCAAGACTGTCTAGTTGAGTCTCTTCTTTGTTAATGGAGGATCATAAAGGGCTCTCTGTTATACAGTACTCTCTGATTTGTTCCAGCAGGAGGTATCCATTATTTTGTTCTGCTGCTTGGCACATGCAGCAGTTTCTTCAACAGCACCTTGAATTATGTTTTCCCTTTGTCATGAAGATTAAGCTTCATCTAAATAATTACTTTTGTTCAGGTTTCTTGATCCAGCTTAAAATCAGAACGCACAAATCAACTGTTTTTGACAGACACACTGACTCTGAGCGTGTTCTTTGCCCCATGTAAAATCAGCCTCAATTCCTAATTGGATTCCCTTTCTGTCTCCGTTAATTTCCAGATCCTTTGGATCCTGGGAAGGCGTATTTGTGAATTCTCTAACGACTGTGTTTTGTGTTTAATGGCTTTGCCGTAGTTCAGAGCAATTTGGACGTAGCCCTCTGACTAGAATGGCATTCATTGTTTTGGCAGAAGATGAGGGAGATTAATTATAAGAGTCTTGAATGAAGTCAGGTGACTCTGAGATGCTTTAGTTGTTAAGGAAGGGAAGTAACAGAAGAGGTTGAACATCATGTTTCTGAAGCCACTGAGTGCACTTTATTTATCCACAGTCATTGCAGTGAGAACATGGTATGGTGTAGTACTTCTTTCGCTTCCTTTCCTTCTCCCCACCCCCTTCTCTGCCACTCTCTCTCTTTTTGTCTTGGCCAACTCAGAGTAAGGTTTCATTCAAAATCCAGTGCTTTATACTTATAAGTGCTTACTATAAAGAACACCCGTCCCCCGCTCCACCCCACAAACTTCCCTTTTTTTGTTTTAGCTTCCCTTAAATAAAGAGTCATGTGTAGTGTAGTAAAGTCCTACAGGAAGAATTCCTGAGAGATTAATTATGCCCTTTGAGACTCCGCACACTTCCAATGACACCTGTACAAAATTCATTCCTTGATGTGATTGCCTGTCAGTTGTTTTTGAAATATACATTAGTGTAACTGAACTCTAGCATTAAAATATCCCATTTCAAGTCTTGGTTCTCCCTTATACTAGCTGTGTGACCGTTGAGGAAGTTAATTAACCTTTCTAGACCTCAGTTTTCCTGAGGTGTAAAATGAGGATAAGAGTACCTGCTCATAGATCTATTTGTATTAAGTATATTAAGATAATACATGTAAGGTGTTTAGAAGAATGTCTGGCAGTAAGTGCTTTGTAAGTGTTAGCTTTTTAAAAAAAATATTTGAATGCCTACTGTTTTTCAAACAAAATTCGAGGATTTGAAGAGATAATATAGACTTTAAAACTTTCTCAGCAAATGAGCACATAGTCTGTGGGTATGTGATAACACATATAGAAAAACTTAAATTACTTAACCTAGAAATATATCTAGTGGGGAAGGTAAACACTTAAACATGAATGCTTATTTATTGGAACTTTTTAGTATCACCTTGTGGTCCTCAGATGACACATGAGCTTTAGCTTTAATCTGAAAAGATTAAATACAGGTTCTCAAAATGTGACTACCTGCATTGATGTCACCAAGATATGTTTTAAAAATACAAAGTCAAGGTCCCTGGGTGGTGCAAATGGTTTGTGCTCAGCTGGTAACCTAAAGGTTGGTGGTTTGAATCCATCCAGCGTCACCACGGAAGAAACAGGCCTGGCGCTCTACTTCTGTAAAGATTACAGCCAAGAAAACCCTATGGAGCAGTTCTGCTCTGTTAACACATGGGATCTCCTAACTCACAAATCAACAACACAAAATGTAAAGTTCAGAGCCAGAGCACTTTTTATACCAAATGAGTCAGAGTCATTGTGGGTGTGGGAAAGAGTCCAGGAATCTACATTTTTAACAAGCTTCACCAAGTGATTCATAGCTTTCATACAACAGAACGAAACACTGCCCCATCCTGCGCCATCCTCACAATCATTTTTATACTCAAGCCCGCTATTGCAGCCACTGTGCTAGTCCATCTCGGTGAGGGTCTTCCTCTTTTTCGCTGACACTCTACCAAGCATGATGTCCTTCTCCAGGGACGGAGCCCTCCTGATAACATGTCCAAAGTACCTAAGATGAAGTCTCATCATCCTCCCTTCTAAGGAGCATTCTGGCTGTATTTCTTCCAAGGCAGATTTGTTTATTCTTCTGGCAGTCATGGTATATTCAGTATTCTTCTTCGCCAACAGCATAATTCAAAGACATCAATTCTTACTCTTATGCACAGTAAACAGTGGACCAATCAGCATAGAACAGTGGTTCTCAACCTAGGTACTCACTAGGATCCCTGTGGTTGAATTTAAATGATACTCATGTTTGCATCCCAGGCTCTAAGATTCTAATTTAAATGTTTTGAGATATGGCACCAGCAGGTGATTATAATGTGAAGCTAGAGTTGAGATGAAGTGGCGTTAGGAGATGATAAGTCAAGGTGATTTTCAACATAGTTTGTTGTATCAGGGATATACAATGACTTAGGAATCCTTGGGCAGTGTAAACAGTGAACATGCTCAGCTGCTAAATGAAAGGTTGGAGGTTTTGAGTCCATCCAGAGGCATCGTGGAAGAAAGGCCCTGGTGATCTACTTTCTAAAACTCAGCACTGTTCTATTCTGATACTCTCACTTGTGTTTGAAACAATGTCAGCATTAATTCTATGGCAACTGGCACTGGTATATGCTGATTTTATTTCTTAAAATGTCATTACAATTCACCCCTTTCTGAATGTTAAATTTTCTTCTTTTTGCAGTGACAGTGTATCATGTATGCCACTAATTCCAGGGGATACTCCCCTGCTTTCCTACAACCTCAGAATGGGAACAGCCATCGCTCATCTGGTTACGTTCCAGGGAGGGTCGTCCCACTGCGTCCCCCTCCTCCTCCAAAGAGCCAAGCTTCAGCCAAATTTACCTCCATCAGACAGGAAGCCCGGGCAACCTTTGCACTCTCACACGAAGAACAGCGAGCCCAAGGAGAAAACCGAAAGCAGAAGAGACACAAAAATACTTTCATTTGCTTTGCTATTACTAGTTTCTCATTTTTTGTTGCACTTGCAATCATTTTAGGAATATCCTCAAAATATGCTCCAGATGGTAAGTGTGTGTGTGTGTGTGCGTGTGTGTGTGTGTGTGTGTGTGTGTATGTGTATGTGTATGCGTATGCACGTGTGCATATAGACTATATTATAAGAGGAGAGGAAATAGTAGGGTACATTTTTTTTTTTATCCGTTATCCTTTAAGTTGGTTCTAGCTAACCAATTTACAATTAGGTTATATGTGGTGTAACTTCTTTTGAATGAGATCAATTGTTAAAGGAAACCACTGGAAATTATAAGATGAAAGGATTGCTAGCCCTTCCCATTTTGTGACTTTGTCCCAGTGCTCAAAAAGGTCTTGGAACATCTCTTTTAGAAATGCTTTTAAGACTGTTTACTGAATTCTTCTGTTACCAAAATTTTATCCTTTGTGGTAGATATGGTTTTTAAATTGCCAAAAAAAAAAATTTTTTTTTCCATAAATGTAGTGACAAACTAGATTTGGTTTTTTAAAGGATAATTGATTAAAAATAATAAGATTTGTCTACTGTGGTTTGAAACTGGCCCTGAAGACTGGCCCAAAAGAGAAACTCAAGTATTTTTGAGTAGCAGTGTATCTCCTTGAAGGAAAGCATTCATTAAGATATGTAAGTTCTGATATGTTTGTCTAAAAATTGCTCATCACCTTAGTTGCACATCATGTAAGGAGGTTTTGATGTCTTAAAAGGTACTTGCTTTTCAGGTTGGTGATATATCAATACTTTGAATGGTTCTGAAGAAGTTTGTTGTCAGTCAGCCCCAATGTAATACCACCGAACAGTTGCCTCATAAAAGTATCCTATACATCTGTCCAAAAATCAGAGGGCTCAAGGCTGTGGAAGAGAGAAGCAGACCTTAGCAACCTGGGTTGGGTACCATTTTTTTTTTTTTTCAAACAAAGTCTACAACAGATCTTTGTAGAATTGGATGCTTCTTTAAACTGAAATAACATTTGAGAATGAATTTACCATTTATGAAACTTTTACGAGTATTATTCTGTTTCATTCTCATGAATACTTTAGGCATTTCATAGATATTTGGGTCCTGGGAGGTAGTGTCATTATTTCTAAAAGATTGACCTCAAGTAAGAGAGATGTCAGTGTCAACATCACCGTTGACTAAGGTTTGTTGTTAGGTGGCATCAAGTCGGTTCTAACAGCAACCCTATGTACAACAGAACGAAACATTGCCTAGTCCTGCGCTATCCTCACAATTGTTGCTATGTTTAAGCCCATTGTTGCAGCCGCTTTGTCAATCCATCTCTTTGAGGGTTTTCCTCTTTTTTGTTGACCCTCTGTTGTTACCAAGCATGATGTCTTTCTCCAGGGACTGGTCCCTCTTGATAACATGTCCAAAGTACTTGAGATGAAGTCTTGCCATCCTCGCTTCTAAGGAGCATTCTGGCTCTACTTCTTCCAAGACAGATTTGTTCGTTCTTCTGGCAATCCGTAGTATATTCAGTATTCTTCTTTGCCAACACCAGAATTCAGATGCATCGATTCTTCTTCAGTCTTCCTTCTTCATTGTCCAGCTTTTGCATGCATATGAGGTCATTGAAAACACCATGGTTTGGGTCAGGCTCACCTTAGTCCTCAAGGTGACATCTTTCCTTCTCAACACTTTGAATAGGTCTTTTGTAGCAGTTTTGCCCAATGCAATACATTGATTTCTTGATTGCTGCTTCCATGGGCATTGATTGAGGATCCAAGTTAAAAAGAAATCCTTGACAACTTCAGTGTTTTCTCCATTTATCGTGATGTTGTTTATTGGTCCAGTTGTGACCTCACAACTGACCAAGTAATAGACCACATTATGAACTCTAACATTGTGTTGTATTACAGATAGTATTGGCTTCCTCTCTCCTTCCCTTAGCAGAATAACTAAGTCCAGTGGTGCTGATTCATTCTTTCCAACTAATCTGCTATAAAGGGATGCTAGGCTTGTGGGAAATCAGAACTGAAAGCTGTGGCTTTTATTGCTTTTATTGGCATTTTCATATTCCGTCTAAAACATTGAATTGCTGATGTGGTTCCTTGAATCAACATTTTTTAGTTTCACATTTTGGCACTATAAGTGCAGAATATAAGTGGAAAAATCTGGTATGCTGAAATATTTCAGGATCAGCCTCACTGTGGTTATTGCTGTTACATAACTTTGATGAAGCACCCACTGCTCTTAATTTCACAAGTGGGTAGCCAGGAAGATGGGGCAGGCTTAGCAATTTTTTCAGTGCTTTGTGCAGGTCACATTTTCACATTAAGTGTACTTTACCTGAAAGAAATACACTGGAATTTTTGTTGATGGTTCTAAAGAAGCATGCCCTTCTGGAAAATAATTATAAGTAAGTTAGAAGAATTATTTAACTATTGTTGTAGACTCTAGATCTCAAAAGACTGGATTTCCTTCCCTGTAGTTGGGTATAGTGCTTATTATGTGGAGCGTACATTTGCTCCTGTTGGAACACCATGGAGAATTCCAGCTAGATGCTTTATGGGCAGAGAAGAAAGTAGAAGAAAAAGTCAAGAAATCCTTAGTATTCAACTAGAACAACTTCAAGAGATTTCTTGTTTTTTAGATGGGAATGAAAGTTTAAGTTTTATTCTTAGTATAAAAATGATGACAATTGATTCATCAAAATAATTATCAACAGGAATTAATTTGCTTTGAGAAAAATTAATTCCATGAAGATAATTGTCAAGGACTTAAATAGCAAGACTAATTTTAACTGTAGTTACTATCACCTCAAAGAGAAAGCATAAGCCTAGAGCATCATTAGGGTTTAGAAACGGGACCATGTTTGCATTAGTGTTATGCAAGTTCAGAATAAGGAATCAATTTTTTTTTTCTGTATATAATACCTTTGTCCCACCCAGTCTCTCTACTTTTTCTCATTTTATCCCCTAACATGTACTTTCCATCTTGATGAAAAATATTTCTTCATCTGGTTCCAAAACATCTTGCTTATTCCTACCTATGCTTACTTAAAATACGGCTACCCCTAGCTATTCTAACTGAGGAAATCAATGGACTTGGGTAGCAAGGGATACTTGTATTACTAGTATTCTTACCCTCCTCTCCCATGCTCCTCTATATTTAAATATTATCAGTCCTTTAAGGGGCCAGGACTAGTGTCACCTCTTGCATGGAGCCACCTCAGTTACTCCAGCCACATTCCTGTTTTCTATGAGCTCTTTTGCGTAGATTAACTACCATATTGTTCAGTATTTACTTATTTCATACATGGTGGCTTTTTATTCAAGACTAGATTGATTGTTAGCTCTGAGGGCTGTGAGCTCACTATCTATCTATCTAACTGTCTATCTGTCTTTCTACCTGTCTATCTACCTACGTACCTATCTATCTATCTATCAAACCCATTGCTGTTGAGTCAATTCCAACTTATAGTGACCCTATAGGACAGAGTAGAACTGCCCTATAGGGTTTCCAAGGAGTGGCTGGTGGATTCGACTGCTGACCTTTTGGTTAGCAGCCAAGCTCTAAACCACTGTGTCACCAGGGCCCCATATATATATATATTTATATATATATATGTATAAATTTTATTATGGTAAAATATATATAACAAAACATTTCCCTTTTTGGCCAAAGGGTGGAATGTCACTAGATGACTAAGACACCTAATATGGAGATAGCTTACATGCAAGGAGTTAGTTCTTATATCACATAGGATGGCAGGCACCACCCCTAGCTTATTATTCAAGATGACGGGAGTGCTATGGGCCTCATGGTCACTATGCGTTAGAATCGAATCAACTTTTTTTTTTTTTTGGTACAACGTAAGTATGAAGAAGGAAAATTTGATCATGGCACTTTTTGTCTCAAGCATTATGGGTTGTGTGTAGTTATGGTAATAAAGAAGAGTGGGGCCGTATTAGAAGGCAACATAAAAAGATTTGGCAATGAATTTGAGATCCCATTACACGCTTCAATGTCTTGATAAAGATTTTGAGATCATCTGCCCTGGGAATTTGTGATCCAGAGTTTCCTTTTCTCCCCTGCATTAACTTTATACTCCAAGGGATCATGATAATGAAGGGGAGGAGGTCCAGAGAGATGCATGTTCCTTACTACATTTATTGAAATAATATCACATATCAGCTCATAAATCCTTGTGATAATCCCATTGGGTAGGAATTGCATCCACATTTTCCAACTGTGAAAGTTGAGGTACAGAGAGAAGCAGCACCTTGCACAAGTTTACACAGTTTTTAAAAGGAAGGAAAGGAGGGAGGAAAGAAAGAAAATAAGTAGAATTGCTGAGATGTGGAATTAGAGGGTCAAGTTCTCTCTTCTTTCGACTGTGTGAATGTAAAAAGAGGATGCTGTAAATGGATTAAAAGAGAAATAATAGAGTCTCTAGCTTCCCATGCTTCAACCTTGATTACTTTCTTCCCTACGCTACCCCCACCATTTTTGCTACCTCCTCCTCCCCTGAATCTTGACAAACAGCAAGGCTTGCAAAAAAACAGTACTCAGAAAGAATTGTTCAGAGAGTTGCCAGAATAGGATTGCACCAACAATCCTAGGCCAAGAGGAACAAAAACCAGATTAATTTCCAACCAGTCCAATCACAATTTTTGCAGCAATTAGAGATGAAGAAAATTACAACCTGAGCCAGACTAAAGGATGTGTACTTCTGTCTTCTCCTCGCCATACAAAACTCCAACCCTACCTTTCTTAGAGCTACCTGCTCTGCGGGTGCTCCCTGATCTGCATCAGCTGAATAAACTCTTTAACCTCTTAAAAAAAAAAAATTCCCATTTTAGCCATTTTTAAGTGCAAAATTCGGTGACATTTATTACATTCACCAAGTTGTTCAACCATCGCCACTATCCATTACCCCAATTAGAAACTCAGTAGCCCTTCAGCAGTATCGCCCCACTCACCCCTCCTCTCAGCCCCTGGTAACCACTAATAAACTTTTGTCTCTATGCATTTCATTCTGTAATTTAAAAAATTTACCACACCTAGTACAAAGTGGATAAATTCATCCTCAATAAATACTTGGTCATTAACTAGTTAAAACTGAAAGAACGAATTTCCCTCTTCTCTTCCAAATTATGGCAGAATCTATAGCTAATTATGGCCAAAACCAAAGGTCTCGTGCATTAAAGAGCTGTGGCAATGCAGAATTATTTTATGTTTTCATCCTCACCTACTCAGGAGGCAAATTCGAATTCTGTAAAAGGAATGCTACAAGTAAAGAGCCTCATTTTGCAAAGGAGGAACCTCCGTATCACTTAGCTTGCTGAGTAATCTTGGGTTTGGCTTCTCTAATCTGCAGTTTCCCCATTTCTGAAAATGAGAAGTCACTTCTTTGGCCACTTGCCTCTTTCGGTTTTGTTGGGAAAGTGTACATGCTTCAAGGTAGCGATATTTATCCGCCTCTGCCTTTGAAAGCAAAGAGGTGGCATACTACATGCATCCTATTATCATCTACTTCATAATTTCATTCTATGTAGGAAGGAAGTTGAGAAGTCACTCCATTCTTCCCTGGGACTGTTTCCAGGGCTGGGTTTGATACTACTGCTTCTTGGGGTTTCAGCCTTTTCTGTGGCCATCTATTGAAGCCTATAGTTCAACCAGAATGATGTTTTTTAAATGCATAAAACAGTACCCAGGACTACAAAGGAAACAAATTATGTTGAAACATAAAAGGGTCCATGCTCTGCAGGTTAAGAACCTTACCCTAGACTCTACTGAAATAATTAAAGTGGTGGGTCTTTTTGCCACTTTCCGAAGGAAGCTCTTCTCCAGTTGAATGGATTTTTTTACTGTAGAATAAAAAGATTCCTATTATCCTATTTAAAACTTTCCTGTTCCCAGATACGTCCCATGATTCTCCTTTGAATAACTTGGTGGTAGTTCCTTCTCTCTAATAAAAGTTATTATTTCATATGTATATGCATTTATGTGCATTATTTCCTGGGTAAGCCCTGGCACATACTTGGACTTTACTCGGTCGCTGTGTATCAAGTGCAGTTAACCATCCTTCTGCAGTAGTCCTCCTTATCTGCTGCTGTTGCCATGCCTGCCTGTTTTACTCTTTCCCAGATAAGTGGATCCTGAAGTATCAAGATGGTCTTCCTGAACGATGATCTCAATTACAAAGAAGTCCCTGCCACGTAAATCCCCACAGATAGCTTGTTGTTGTTATTGCTGCTTAAAAACAATTTAGTTTTTAATCTAATAAAATTGGCCTAATGAAAAGAAGAAATAAAAATTCATACCTTTCCGCCATTGTTAAAAATTTGTACGGGTGTGCTTGTGCATGTCTTTTACTAGGACCTGATATGTAGTCTGGTGGCGTAGCATTAACCACTATGGCTGCTAACCAAAAGGTCGGCAGTTCGAATCCACCAGGCACGCCTTGGAAACTCTGCGGGGCAGTTCTACTCTGTCCTCTAAGGTCGCTATGAGTCAGAATCAACTTGATGGCAATGGGTTTGGTTTTTGGTGTACATATTACCCAAAAAACCAAACCCGTTGCCGTTGAGTCGATTCCAACTCAGCAACCCTGTAGGACAGAGTAGAACTGCCCCATAGGGTTTCCAAGGAGCAGCTGGTGGATTCGAACTGCCTACCTTTGGTGAGCAGCCATAGCTCTTAACCATTATGCCCCCAGGGTTTCAGTAATTTTCTTTTGTTATTTACCAGTGTGTCATGAACTTTTTTTTCTTTTCCTAAAATAGCTTTCCAGTGTGACTCCAAGGACAATTCATAGTCTGACTTCTTGTTGGTTAGTTTTCAGCGTAGATGGTTCACAGGAACTCCGTTGTTACGCTGTGAAGTTTGACCCAACATAGATGCTAACAACTTAACAAGTATTGTGGTGAAACCTTTTTTATGTGTTGAGGAAGTAAAAGATTTGATGGGACAGGATGGGATTTCCATTCTAATGTCAGGAAATCAAAATATGTCAGCCTGTTACTTGCAGATCTCCATTAAGTGATGGTAGTGTTTGGATTTAGCTAAAGGTATTCTTGCATCTTGTTGGACCTGATGAGGCATCAGTGTTGCATTGTATTATAGAGAACTGCCCAGATCAAAACCCCCGACTCAGGAACTGGGATCCAGGACAAGATTCTACAAAACAAGTTGTTATCAAGGAGGGAGATATGCTTCGTCTGACCTCAGATGTCACAGTGAACTCTATAGTCATTCAGGATGGAGGTATGTACTGGTTCCTGTGTGTAGAGACTGCAGGGTTGTTCTTTAGTGTGGGAGACATTTGATGGTCTTTATGCAGAAAACTATTCTTCAACCGAGTAACATTTAGGATGTGGTATCGTTCTAACTATAACCCATTGCCGTCGTGTCGATTCTGATTCATATGCGCCTGGTGGATTCAAACTGCCGACCTTTTGGTTAGCAGCTGTAGCTCTTAACACTATGCCACCAGGGTTTCCTTTCTAACTATAGAGATGTGAAAAGTTCCAAAGTTAGAATCAGAGAATTCAAGAGCTTAGAAGTGCCTTAGAAATCACTCACATCAAGGCCCTGATGAGTAAACAGTTCTAGAAAGGTGATATCTCATAGCTAGATTTTTTTTTTTTTTTTACAACTGATGGAGATGAGAGAGTTAACATGAGCTAACATATATAAAAATGAGATTCAGATTTGTACGCTTTTAGATCTTTTTCTAGAAATAATTTACCTTCAAAGTGAATTGAAAATTCATTTCAAAGTGAATAAGGAAATAACCTACTTATGGTTCTTGTGCCATATTCCAGTTAACCATGATTTCCTCACATGCTCCTGAGTCTGGGGAAGTAGTTGGCTCAATATTTAATTAAGAAAACAAGTTTCATTTCTGCTTAATGTTCTTAGTAAAGTCAGAGAATGTCTACAGTGAAAAGTAGGAGGACTTCAAAACCTATATTTCAAGTGGATTGAAATTTATACACTTGTGCTTTTTTAATGTGTTGAGATATGAAATCTTTTTTTTTCTTTACTACGTGTTGGAAACCAGTTTAATTTTCTCAATAGACGCTTAGTAAATTTTTTTTTTTTTTCCTGGCCTCGCTTAAGCTGAAATCTACTTCTGTCAGAAAGATGTTTTAGAAGTTGGCTTACAATAGTGTTGTTCCCTGCAGGACTGCTTGTATTTGGAGATGATAAAGATGGATCCAGAAATATTACTTTGAGGACTCGTTACATCCTGATCAAGGATGGTGGGGCGCTTCATATTGGAGCAGAAAAATGCCGCTATAAATCCAAAGCGACAATTGCCTTGTATGGCAAGTCAGATGAAGGTGAAAGTATGCCAACATTTGGCAAAAAGTTTATTGGTGTGGAAGCTGGCGGGACACTGGAGTTGCACGGGGCACGGAAGACATCGTGGACGTTGTTGGTGAGGACTTTGCATTCCTCAGGTTTGACGTTTGGGTCCTATGCCTTCGAGAAGGACTTTTCCCGGGGCCTCAATGTGAGGGTCATTGACCAAAACACAGCCAAAATTTTGGAGAATGTGAGGTTTGATACTCATGAATACCAAAATGAGAGCAAGCGACTTCAGGAATTCTTGAGAGTCCAGGATCCAGGGCGAATTGTTGCCATAGCTGTTGGAGATTCAGCAGCCAAAAGCCTCTTACAAGGAACTATACAGATGATCCAGGACCGGTTGGGAAGTAAGCTGATCCAAGGACTGAGCTACAGGTAGGCATACCTTTTTTTTTTTTTTTCCAGCTGTGTACTGAGTCCATGTCTATATGAGAGGAAATGGAAAAGGAGAATGATAGCACACATCACATCATATCACAGGTGCCGGAGTGGCTACAACAATCTGTAGGTCAGGTTGCCTCTTGCTTTCAAACATGGGCTTGGAGGCCAGGATACGGGATACAAAAGCTCTTATCTTGGCTTTGGTTTATGAAGTACTTTGTGGGCTATAATGTCGGCCTTGTGAAAAGTTAAGAACAGAAATGTGATATTGCAGAGCAGTCATGCAATTTAAGAACAATTTACCGCTGAAGATACTTCCTCCTTTGATTACTTTCTGAAGGTAGTATGAAACTCAGGCTAATTGGGGCAATTTATGAGTTGAAAGGTTAGGGCACAGTTCCATGCTAAGATGTAAAACCTGTCTTAAAATTAAGTCCAGGGGGGTGGAATAAACAGTTTTCTTTTTCTTTCTTCTTTCGAATCCTTTGCATGCTAATTTGAGTCTACTTATTAATCAAGCAGCTCCAGAACAGGTGATTGGTGCAGATCTGTAGAGCCCCCAGCCTGTGCAAGGAAAGAAAAAGTCAGAGGGCTAGGAAATCTATCCAGATAGTAGAATTAACTCAGAGGAGAAGGGAATAACCCGTTTATGATTCTTGTGCCATATTCTAGTTAACCATGACTTTTGCTTGCAGTCAGTCCTGAGTCTGTGGAAGAAGTTGACTCAATATTCAATTAAAAAAACAGAATTTTTAATTCTGCTTAATATTCTTAGTAAAGTTAGGGAATAGCTACCGTGATAAATAAGAGGACTTCAAAACCCACATGCTGAAATTATCTAGTTGTTATTTTTTCTTTGATGGTAGATTGATGGAATTGAATTTTGTCTACAGAAATGCTGAAGAAAGACAAAAATTAGTGAAGAAAAAAGGGTCCATAATGTTTTTAAAATACCTTTTATTTACCCAGGAATATTTAGGAGATGCTAAGTGCTGGTTACTAGAGTACAGATGCTTCGATGAAAGGACACCGTCTCTGAGCCCTCAGTGACTTTAGTTTAGTGGATAAAAAGAGACCTAAAATAGATGATGATCATACAGTGTGATACTTGCTTCTCCTGCAGGCTATAGTGGGAACATAAGCAGAAGGAGCCCTAAATTGGCCTAGGGAATCATTGGCAGTTTCTCAAAGGTAGGAGGTCCGAAGGAAGTTTAGGATTGTTCTATGTACAGTGGAGAAGGAGGGCGTTCCAGACAGAGGGAACAGCATGTACAAAACCTCAGAGGTATGTGTGGGACAAGCTGTCTTTAAAACATTTTTTTATTATGGAGTATAATATACATCCAGAAAAGAGATAAAAACAAGAATGTAGAGCTCAGTGATCTGTCACAATGTGACATGTGTAGCCATCACCCAGGTCAAGAAATAGAACTTACATTGGCCCAGAAGCCCCTTTCTGTCCCCTCCTATACACGGATCACTTCCACCACTTACCAAAGGTAACTGCTGTCTTGAATTGGAGAGAACACTAAAGTTTAGGTTTGCCTGTTTCTGAACTTTATAAAAATGGAACCAGACAATATATAATATTTTGCATCTGGTTTCTTTGCTCAATGTTATGTTATTGAGTGTCACTCATGTTGTTGCCTGTAGTGCTTGCTCATTTCATTGCTATATATTTTCTATTGAATGTATATATTACAGTTTATTTACTGCTATACATCTAGGTTGTTTTGTCAACTTGTACCTATTATAAAAAATGCTTCTCTAAATGTTCTTTATACCCATCTCTTGGTGCACATGTACACATATTTCTATAATTTATAGACCTAGAAGTAGAAGCATGGTCTTTTCAAATTTAGAGATATAACTGTATTTCATTATCCAGTGATGCCAGGGATAAAATTTTGTTTCATTATGCCGTTATTGTCTCTAGGCTTGTGTATCATGAGCTATGAAAATTTTGTTTGAATTTCTTCTTTGATTTCTTTTCGTACTGGTTTCAAAATTCCCTTTAAAATTTTGCTACAGATTTGAGGGAGGAATTAAAGAGTTGTGATCCTTTGCCAATGTTCCACTGCATTGACATTATCTCCAATGTACATAAACACATACCCCTTTGAAGATAATGTTCTCGTGCATTGAAATTTTTCTCAAGTGGAGGAGGGAAGTAGAAGTGTTTTGGAGATAATGCCAATAGAATAGAATGTTGTCTTATAATTGCTGAGGCAGTTCTGGTAAATAAAAGAAGCCTCTGGTATTCTGCCTCTCTTTCTCAAATAGGAGATAATAAGTTGAGACGTTCTTCATTTGAATCTTTGTGTTGTCTAAAGGGATATAAATAGAGCTATAAAGCCCTGTCATCCAAAGAGTAGATAATACAAGCAGGGGCGGGTGTGGAATTTATAAGAGTGTAGGCATGCTTTGGCTAACTTTTATCTGTGCATATCCAACCATCTGTCTGGCATAGGTTACATTTGGTATTTTTTTCTAGAGTAGGAAATTAACATTTTTCTTTTCATGTTTTAAACCAGGAAACTTAAGGTAAATTTTGTGGCTTTTTGTCATTGTCCTTTCTCTTTGATTTGGCCACAAGCTGGAGCAAGTCACTGGAATGTGTAGAATCACAGAAGTAAAAGGGCGTTTTCAACCACATTGCTTTCAATATATAAATATATAGCATGTGAAAGTTAAAAATCTTTTGGATAGTGATTTTATAGCTTTGATTTAAGAATGTTAAGAAACCTCTAACCCAGTGTTTTTTTGGTTTTGGTTTTTGCCTTGGCAGCAACGTGGGAAACTTAAAAATCCAATTCCCAGGTCCCACTTTAGACCAATTACATCAGGATGGGGAGGGGAGGGGAGAGAAGACAAGGCACCCATACAGTGAAGGTGGAGTGAAGGTTGAGAACTACTGCTCTAATGTCTAATCTTTAACTCAAGGTTTCTCCAAGGGTGGTCCTCACACAGAAATAGCAGCATTACCTGAGTGCTTGTTAGAAATGCAAATTATCAAGCCCTGCCTCAGAAACTCAAGGGTGGGGCCCAGCAATCTGTTGTAGCAAATCCTCCAAGTGTTGCTGATACCTGTTAAAGTTTGAGAACCACTGCTTTTAACCTAATGGCTATCAAGTCTGAGTGCACATTTGAATCACCTAGGGAGATTTAAAAGCTTACCAATGCCAGGCCCCACCCTTAGAGATTATGATTTCGTTGGCCTGGGATGGGGTCTGACCTTTGATACATGGTCAAGCCATGATACTTTCTGTGAAATAGGACATTGTGATTTGGACCTTGTGCGAACATCGTATTACAGGCAGTCCCCAGGTTACAAACATCCGACTTACAGACAACTTGTATTTAAGAGTGTACTATCGTGAAGCCTGTTATATTAAAAATTTCAGTTAAGTACAATGGTTTGTAATAACAAACGCACTCACTACTTTGTGATGCTCATGAAAAAATTGCACAGTTTGGAAATATTTAAGTGTTTTATATACATAGAAAGGTAAAATATATACTGTATACTAAGACAAACATTTGACTAACTGACACTAAATAAGAACTGTATGTACCTGTTCTGACTTATCTATAAATTCGACTTAAAGACAAACTTAGGAACAGATCTCGTTTGTAACCCAAGGACTGCCTGTATACAAGAGACATGAGATACACACGTTGCGTGCGAGAAGCTGTTGTGTTCACTATGTCCGGTTACGTCCACTACATCCTGTTCCCCGACTGGGATTTCTAAACTCTATTATAACCTTATGGGACCATGGACGTATATGTGGCCAGATGTTGCCTGAACGGACGTTATGCGGTGCGTGACTAGTTCTAAAGCTTCCTGTTTGGTTCTATTGTGCAGTTAGAGTCAAAAGAGTGCAGGTGATAATCACTTTAAAATAAGGAAAAGAAATAGATTCATGGCCAGAATTATATGTGAATAAGATGGGTGTGTATTGAGGAAGTCAATGATTAATTGAAGTCATAGTCATCAGTGCTACAGAGCTGGACGAACAAGTATTTTTGTGTGTGTTTTCTTCTGTGACGTTGGTTTCAGTCAAGCTCTGGGAATCTTGAAAAAGAGTTTGTAGTGATTGACAAAAATGAAAGTTGAGACTGAAACGGCACTCGCCATAACATCTGTGTCACGGATTTGGTTCAGTTGCATGACAAATAATCAAATGCACATTTTTTTTCCCTTCTAGGCAAGCTTGGGCTTTAGTTGGTGTCATTGATGGTGGAAGTACTTCTTGCAATGAATCTGTGAGAAACTATGAAAATCATAGTAGTGGAGGGAAGGCTCTTGCACAAGGAGAATTTTACACCATGGATGGTCAGAAGTTTGCTGTGACAGCTTATAGTGAATGGATTGAAGGTAGGCAAAAACAGTTTATACTTATGTAAGATATTGGTAAATATTGTGACAGACTTTCTAAAAGTAGTAATGTATTCAAATGACAGTCTGCCTGGGTAGATTTTTCAACCAGTTGAGGATGAAACCTGTAATTTCCTTATTGCACTTGAGTTCCTTCTGGACTAGAGAATGGTTTGGTCTAGTTTGGGCACCCCCAACTAGACTTGGTATCTGACTCTTGAGTCGTATAGTATAGTTAACTAACAGAAATGTATTTCTTTCCTGGCTTTGGTGCCAACTGAGCCCATCTGGGTTTGATAGGGTGAGTTGTTTTGGCTCTGTTCCATGGCAGTGAATGTGATGTTGTACTTTGGATCTCCTCTTTCTGTAGACACATCAGCAAACATTACTGTCAGACACATGCTATGTAAACCAACTTCTCATTTTCTTAGCATTTTCCCCCCAGTGAACTAGCAAATACATTTATCTTAGGTACAAATTAGAAAACACTAAAGTACAAGGAAGAAAGTAAAAATCTTTAACCTTATTATTTAGTAATGATTATTTTGATGCATGATATTCTAGTATATTTTTACCATATATATACATATATATATATATATATATCCACTTGTATATATCCCCCCTCACCCTATTTTGTTTTAACCTGCTTTCCTTTCACTAAATAACATATTGTAAAGTTATCTTATATCTTTAAATTTTCTTCTTCAGTGTATTTTTTTATGGGAATCCATCTAACAGGAAAACTATAATTTGTTTGGATAATGCTTAGCACTGGGTGTTAGGGTGCTTCTGATTTTTTTTTTTCTTTAGGATGCTCATTGCAGAATTTTTCATTTATGTACCGTGCTGCCAGATTCTGTGGTTCCAGGAGTTGAATTTGTTACCCCTAACTGTGCTTCCCCACCACCTTTCTTTTCCAACCAAATGTTATACCAAAAATAGTGTGGAATGATTAACCAAGAGATGCATGTGTAATTACCCAAAAACTTCAGTGATATGTCTTTCAGGCAGCAATGTAGCAAAGTGTTTACTAACATGGATCCTGGGTTCCTATCTCAGTTCATTCACTTACCATATGACTCTGGGCATGTGACTTTAACTCCTAAACCTCAGTTTCCACATCTGAAAAATGGGCATAAAAACAAAAAAAAAGCAAACAAAAAACTGCCACATTGGGTTGCAGTGAGCACCAATGTGAAGAATGTGAAATTTTCAGACAGCGCATGTAGAAATCACTCAATGAATATTTAGATATTTTAATAATGATGCAAATATGACTTGGTTGGGTTATAATGGATATTTGTATATTAGTATGATTAAATAGAGAAAATCTTTTGCTTTAAAACAAATGAATAAAGAAATAGAGCTCCTGGTATATGATAAGGACTTTCTCTTACTGCTTTCAAGTAATCTTCTGGGTTTGGGGCGAAGCAGTGGTATTTATTTTATTGAGGAAGCTGGGACCAAGTTCTAGTTTTCTGACTCCAAAACCAGTGATCTTTTTTCCACACCATGGTTGCTTCTGGCAAAAAGCATTGGTGGGTGAGAAGCATTTCCGAGAAGGAGCTGGGTCTTGCCATGGAGAGGTTAGTGGTACTGAGTCTTCAAGTAAGATTCCAGGCAGAGCATAATTACCTACTGACTTTGAGTCAACATTTCCTTTGTGGGAAATGTTTTTATTTCCACATTACTGATGACTCCTCATTTCTGGAAGACAGTACATTTTAGCTATTTATTGTAGGATATTGTTTGTGTTCCATGTTCTCACTGACTCCTGCTTTCTGAAAGAGGTAGAAATTCTTCCCAGGAAGCAGAGAGGATGAACTTACTTCCTTTCTCACTTCCGATTCAGTAATGCTTATAGGAGATGAGTCAGATTTGACTCGATGGCAATGAGTTAGGTTTAGGTTTTTAGTAGGAGATAATATTAGGCAGAATTTTCTTCTAAAGCCAGAAAAAGTGAAGAATTGTTGAATGGTACTCACCTCCCATCTCACCTTTTGCTTCTTTTTAAAATTATTTTTTTAATTGTTATAAAAATACAGATAACATTTGCCAACTCAGCGTTTTTCATATGTGCAATTTAGTGAGAGCAGTTTTTTTTTTTTTTAAAGAGACAAATTCTAAGGCTCTTTCAGGTCAAAACTTCTTTACCTAGTAGTCATTTCTTTTTGTTTTTACATATGGAAAAATTAATGTTTCTTGATTGTCCTTTTTTAGGGAAATTTTTTTTTTTTTTTGGTCAAAATGTAAAATTTTGGGTAGTGATTATTTTTGCTGCTGTGAAGTTTTTGATTATCTTTCTTTTTAACCTGCCTGTTTTGTTTCTTAGGAAAGCAGTATGATACAGAGGTTAAGAAATGGGGCTCTAGAATTAGAGTAACATTCAGTTCTGGACTCTATCATTTTTTTAGCTGCTGTTAGACCTCCCTGAGCTTTGGTTTCCTCATCGTTAATGGACAGAATAGTTTCTATCTTTCAAAGCTGTGTTGAGGACGAGAAATCATTATATATATGAAGTCTCAACAGCTATTAATTATTGTTATTATGAGAGTTATAACTATTACTATTTTTTTTTTTGGAGCCCTGGTGGCACAGTGGTTAAGAGATATGGCTGCTCAAAAGGGCGGCAGTTCGAATCCATCAGCCACTCCTTGGAAACCCTGTGGGGCAGTTCTGCTCTGTCCTGTGGGGTTAAGAGTCAGAATTGACTCGACGGCCTCATCTTTAATGGATATAATACTTTCTGTCTTTGAGAGTTGTCTTGAGCATGAGAAATCATTGTGTGTGTGAAGTCTCAACAGCTATTAATTAATGTTATGAGAGTGACAACTATTACTATTATTTTTTGGAAAAAGCCTATTATAGGCTTTACTATCTGGATGCAAGAAGCATATTATAAAAACACTTTACATTTATTAGGTAACTTTTGTGTGTGCGCGCGCACGTGTGTGCTTTGTAGAAAGAGAAAAATTGGGAAGTTCAGAGTTTAAAAAAGAACAGAATGCAAGACTCGCCCAGGTTAGGTTCTCCTGGGGTAGTTGGCTCAAGACTGCAACAATATCTATATTATTCCTGTACCATGCCTGAATTGCCCTCCTTTTGATTTCCATAACTTGAGTCAATGTGTTTTTTCCCTTATATCATCTTTCCTTTGAGTCAGCATCTTAATGTAATCCTGAGGTAATGTGCGAATTGGTTAAAGAAGAATGATGGAGAAGTATAGATGTTTATTAAACAGATATCTTTGAAATACAATGTTTTTCTTTCCCCACTGGTGATATGCCATTAGCTTCCCTCTAATCCATATATAGTTCCATGAAATCAGTTTTTGACTTATGATAGATGATATCATGGACATTACAGAAGCAGGAAACACTTTTACTGTTTGAGTGTAAAAGAAGTATGAATTGTGGAGAAGTTAGCTCAACTTTTTAGTTTTTGTCTGCCTAACTGGGAGCCAACGTTGAGTTTTAAAAGAAGGTATTAGGATGGATCGGTAGTAGTCATTGGATTGTATAGTTTTATGTTATCCTCAGAAAGTAGCAGAATTGGAAGGGCCACCATCGTGTCTGACTCAGGTCACATTCCAGATCATGCTTGGGAACACTAATCTATTTTCAGCAAACACCTATGTATCTGTTCTATGAACCATATAGAGTAGTAAATGCACAAATGGAGGCACTCTGCTGCCTTCACGGAAGTAGCATCTGAGGAGGTGAGCTATCCTAGCTAACACACCTGAAAGGTGTGAATCATACTGGAGAGAATATCAATATAAGAATACCGGAGAGAGAGGTTGCTAGTGTGGGGAGCAAGGTACTTCTTTCCAGACAGGGAGATCCAAGCAGTTGAAGAAGCTGACAGAGTCCTGGGACACGACATTTATGGAGTTGAGCTCTAGAAAATCAGGTGACTCAAGGTGTCTTCAACAAAGTCATCCAGGAGGTTAGCTGTGTGGAGAATTCCTATGGGCCAGAGCATCACTGACGTCTCCTGTGAGCCCTCAAATGAGGTGTTTGCCTTGCTTCTGTTGCTGGCACTTGCCAGACTCCAGCGGTGCTGGCCCTTAGGACTTCGTGGGGGTTATGGTTGCCTGCTGTGTCTCTGGCCTCCGGGCACACAGTGTGATATACAGTCTCATGTTTGTACACTTTCCCCAGGCTCCAGCAGTCTGGGTGTCAGTTGTTATAAAGGGGCAAGGATATCTCATGGACACTGGCCTTTGACTCTCTGTTTTCTGCTAAATGAGTTCTGTTACAGCCTGCATGGTTGTAAAATGGGTCCTGGGCATTGTTTTTCCAGGACTCAGCCTCTTGTGTAGGTTTTAGGTGTTGGTTGGGTGAGGGGAACTGGGAACTCCTGAAACAGAAATGGTTCCATAGAGTGATAATGCATGTATACAAATAAACTGAGAAATCATTTAAAAAAAAGGTTACTTCCAGCAAGGATGTTTGGGAAATCTTTAAGGATGAAGGAGCATTTGCCTGAATCTTATTAGGGGATGAACAAATCTGTCTTGGAAAAAGTACAGCCAGAATGCTTCTTAGATGTGAGGCTGGCAAGACTTCCTCTAACATACTTTGGACATGTTATCAGGAGGGACCAGTCCCTGGAGAAGGACATCATGCTTGGTAAAGTAGAGGGTCAGTGAAAAAGAGGAAGACCCTCAATGAGATGGATTGACACAGTGGCTGCAACAATGGGCTCAAACATAGCAAAGATTGTGAGGATGGTGCAGGACCAGTGTTTCATTCTGTTGTACATAGGGTCGCTATGAGTTGGAACCGACTTGACCACACCTGAGAACAACATCTTGGTTGGTGAAAAAGTAGAAAAATATTCTGGTAAACAATAAAACATGAGCAAAGGCACAGAAATGGGGGATTGACTAAAGGCAAGCTTTTATTTGTAATGTAAGACAGAAAATCTGTTAATGTCCTATCTCTTGTCCTGTGCTTAGGTCAGATTGAAGCAATGAATATTTTTTACAGACCTATTCTGTGCTGGGCAACTTCTACCTGAGTGTGATATGTTCTTATTAAGATCGTTTGGGGCAGTATTATAGTTTTAGCAGTGAGTTGAAATACAACGAGATTTGGGGATCTATAGCCTTCTTCAAAATTATCAAAGAATAGTTTACTAAAGTGATATCTTATATCCCATTATGGCCAGGGATGCCCTCTTCTCGTGAGGGCAGGGAGCTATATATTTTGTTTTGTTTTTTTTCTTATGTTTTAGTATATTTATAGAGTTGTGCGACCATCATCACAATCTAATTTTAGAACATTTCCATCACGCCAAAAAGAAATCTCATGCCTATTTGCCATAACTCCCCATTCCCATTCCAGCCACAAGTAACTACTAATCTACTTTCTGTCTCTATAGTTCTACCTTTTCTGGGCATTTCATATAAATGGAATCATACAATATGTAAACAATTAATATGTTTGTTTTTTAACACAACGTAAGAGCATTTCTCTTTTTCTCATTTATTACATTTTAATCAAAATTCTAGAAACATTTGGGCTCCCCAGCAAGACCTGTGAACACTATAGCAGCCAGTGTGGTTTCTAAACCTGTAACAGGTGCACAGGTGTAGCCTCTCCATCCATACACACCCTCTTCTAACAAAAACTGTTTTCTCTTTTTCTGAGAATATGATACATTGTGCTTATGAGACAGCAGCCTCGAAGCAGGTGGATGGCTCCTGGGAAAGGCTGGGGTGGGGATGCGTGGCAGGAGCAGTGGAGGAGGCGGAGTGCTGGGCAGGAGCTTACATCCCCTCCCTAACACCCGCCTCCAAGATGTCTTTGCTCTCTGTAGCTGCCAGCAGGGATACACTGATAGAAAGAAGCCCTCTGTGTTAAGGTGTGCTTTAAGGGAGCTATGTTTTCATCTTCTTATCATTAGTATCTGCAGAGCGACTGGCCCATGGTTAGCAATTAGTACAATTTTGCTGAATTGTGTTTATGTTAAGTCTTTTTTCCTTAAATTTTATTTAGTTTGCTATTGTTGAGAATGTACACAGCAAAACATAGACCAATTCAGCAGTTTCTACATGCACCATTTAGTGACATTGATTACATTCTTCGAGTTGTGCAACCATTCTCACCCTCCTTTTCTGAGTTGTTCTTTCCCCATTAACATAAACTCACTGCTCCATATGGTTCCTGTCTAACCTTTTGATTGCTGTTGTCAATTTGATCCCCTATAGATAGTTCTTAAAAAAGCACAATGCTCATAACAGACCTCTTTTTTACTAGTTAAGCTAAACTATTGTTCGGTTTTAAGGTGACTTCTGAGGATATTTTTTGTTTTAAGATTTAAAGATTATCTCAGGGCAGTAGCTTTAAGGATTCATCCACCCTCCATGGCTCCAGAAAGTCTAGAGTCCATGAGAATTTGAAATTCTGTTCTGCATTTCTCCCTACTTTGATCAGGATTCTTTATGGAATCTGATCAAAATATTCAGTAATAGTAGCCAGGCACCACCCTGTTCTTCTGGTCTCATGGCAAAGGGGGCAGTTGTTCCTGGTGTTTAAGTTAACTTTTGATCTGTGACTCAGTGAGGGGATGGATTTTAGACACAGAACAATTCCTATTAATGCATCATTTTCTTTCTTGTGTTTTGGTTTAGGCGTTTCTCTTTCAGGCTTCCGGGTAGAGGTTGTGGATGGAGTGATGCTTCATTTGCTGGATGATGTTAGCAGCTGGAAACCTGGAGACCAGATCGTGGTTGCAAGCACAGACTATTCTATGTACCAGGCAGAGGAGTTCACTCTTCTCCCCTGTCCCGAGTGCAGCCGTTTTCAGGTCAAAGTCAAAGGTATCAGACTGCTGAGTGCTTCTTGGGAAACACACTCTCTTTTCTCTGGATTTGATTCTTGGAATACCTCCCGCCCTCCAAGCATCATCGTCATCAACTTAATATGCTGAAGGTCTTAGAATGTAGAGTGCATTGCACCCTACATTCCAGAGGATATCAGATACAAGTAGTTACTGAGCAACAGTTTTGCTGTTAATGACGTATAGCAGGCAAAACCTTGCTTCTGTACCTCAGTGTCTTTATTAAAAAAATAAAAAAGGATGAGGAGTTGATGGGCTGATTGTCCAAGGTCCTTTCCAGCTTCTTACTTATTAATTTTTCACTATCGAATAAATGTAAACCAACTATCAATTAGATCCACTTTTTAAAGAAGTCTTTCTTCTTAATCCAAAAAGTTCCATGGCTTTTGAGTGCCTACTTGCTTGGCAAAAAAGCAAATCTCACTAATATTTAAAATGCAACCAAAAAGGTATTTTCATAAAACTACATTTCCTATCCTAATGTTGAATAATATATATTTTTTTTAATGGGAAAGCAATACACAATGGGATTCTGTACTGTACAGTGTGTTTAGAAATCATTATCTACCAGACCCTTCCTCTGAGCCTGGCACTAGGCAAAGCCTGTTCTTGCATTACCTCAATTATGGGATTCATTGTGCATTTCAGTCTTTACATTGCTTTCTTTGCTTCTGTGCTTGAGATTATATACATTTATGAGACAAAACAAAAAGAGTTTACAGTTGCTATTCAATAAGTGCTCACTTGATGGGTAATTTAGAGCTTTGAAGTGTAAGGGAAAATTTTCTGCTTTAAAAAAAAAAAAAACAGTTTACTCACTTGGCACTTCTTCTCAGTGCTTTATTCAGTGCTGTACTTTTCCTTCTCGATAATACTGGGCATAAACAAACAAACAAAAAATACCATCTGGCATTAATTCTTTTTTGGAAATTCCCACTCTTGTTAACAAGTCTACATGATAATGAGCCTTTACGATCTCAAGTCCCGTGATTTGTTTGTGTTTTTCCTTTCTGGGTTTATAATATGAGCATCAGAGAAAAGCTCATTATTAAAATGCTTCTAAACTTCCAATAAAAACGGGAATTTAAAAGAATGCATGGTGCATTAAATTAAGAAGAGTTGGGAAAGAAAAGAGAATAACTTCTGTACTGCCGATGTCCAAATGCAGATTACTTTAGCACTGAAATGGAAGCAAAAACAACTTTAGGCCCTGCTGTCATCATCTACGAGCCCTGGTGGCGCAGTGGTTAGAAGGTCGGCAGTTCGAACCTTCATCTAAAGTACAATTAAAAAAAAAAGAAATTAATCGAATTAGTAATTTAAAATCTTCCCACAAAGAAATACCCTGGCCCACATGGATTCACTTGTGAATTCTAGCAAATGTTTTAAAAAAGAAATAATACCAATTTTCCACAAACTTCCACAAAACAGACAAAGTAGGAACACTTCCTAACTCATTCTATGAGGCCAGTATTACTCTGATATCAAAGCTAGATAAAGATATCACAGAAAAGAAAACTACAGACCAACATTCCTTATGAATATAGAGGCAAAATCTTTAACAAAATATTAGCAAACTGAATCCAGCAACATATTAAAAGGACAATCCACCATGGCTGTTATGGACTGAATTGAGTCCCCCAAAAATATGTTTTGTAAATCCTCACCCCCTATACCTGTGGATGTAACCCATTTTGGAATAGGCTTTTCTTTGTTGTTAATGAGGTCTTATCAGTTAGAGTAGTTCTTAAGCCAATCACTTTTGAGATATCAAAGAGCAGATTAGGCAGGGAACCAAGGAAGCACAGATGCTGGAAAATGGGTGCCATGCCACATGAAGATTGCCAAGGAACTGAGGAAAAGAAGCTGAAAAGCAACAAAGACCTTCCTCCGAGCCAACACTGAGAGACAGGGCCTTCCCTTAGAGCCAGGACCCTGAATTTGGATTTCTAGCCTCCTTAAACTGTGAGAAAATAAATTTCTGTTCATTAAAGCCAAAAAAAACAAAAGGTGGGCAGTTCGAATCCACCAGCTGCTCCTTGGAAACCCTATGGAGCAGTTCTACTCCATCCTATAGGGTTGCTATGAGTAGGAATCGACTTGAAGGCAACGGTTATCATCATCTAAAAAGACATTTGTCTTTCTGGATTTACCATGCATGTGGGTCTTCATATGCCATCAAGGAAGTAGAATAAGAGCATATAGACAGGAGCTGGGAGAGAGAGTCTGGATTGTTAAGCAGATATCAGATGGTTAGAGGTGTCTAGGGATGGATTGAGCTACTTCAGGGAGGAACAAGTTCTCCATCAGTGCATTGGCGGGGCAATTGTAGTGAGTGTTCAGATGTCAGATGGGTGGTGGGTAGATAATCTTTAAAATCCCTGTTCCCTGGCATTCTGTGATACTGAGGTTTAGAGAATGGTACTAAACCCCAAAACCAAACCCATTGCCGTCAAGTTGATTCAGACTTATAGCTACCCTACAGAACAGAGTAGAGCTGTCCCATAGGGTTTCCAAGGCTGTAATCTTTACGGAAGCAGACTGCCACATCTTCTTGCTGTAGAGCGACTAGTAGGTTTGATCCACTGATCTTTGGGTTAGCATCCAAGCGCTTTAACCACTGTACCACTAGGGCTCTTTCCAGAATCACACTAGAGAAGACAAGTTGTTAAGTCTTGGGGGTTATAGAAAGAAGAGGAATGGGTTTGAAGTAAGCTTCACGTTGTCTTTGTTCTGATTTTCTTTTTCCGTTGGCTCACATCAACCAGAAACACCTCAGTTCCTGCACATGGGAGAGATTGTAGATGGTGTAGACATGAGAGCTGAGGTTGGAATTCTCACCCGGAATGTTGTAATCCGAGGAGAAATGGAGGACTCATGTTATGCTGAAAACCAATGCCAATTCTTTGATTTTGATACCTTTGGGGGACATGTCATGGTATGTAAAATCCCGGTTGCTAAATACATGGTTGAAGTAACATTCAAGTTTTCAAGTTTTGGAATGAGATGTATATAGATATGAAAAGAGAAATTTTATTTTATTTCTCTATCCAAATGATAATCAGGTGATTTTAGTTAATTAAAGGAGAAAGTTGTATCTTACTTTAGTTGACCTGGACTTCTAGTTAAACCATTAAGAATGATGTCATGAAGAATTAAATCAATGCATTGGGAAAAACCACAGAGACAAAAAAGTCAATGATCCTTGGTATCCATGTATGCAATATCTGAAGGAATCAGTTGAGATTATTGATGAGGGAGCAGTATAGTAACATGGACATACAAAATATTTTTCTGTACCAGTATTTTTGTATACAGATTCTGTATCTCTATTATTCAACAAATATGTATTGAACACTTACTGTATGGTGGCAATGATGTATACACCAATCGATTGGACTCCAGGGCTGCATGGTGCCTACATGTGTTTTAAAATCAGTTTTTGGTTGTTGAATAGGCAATGGTTTTTAGCAACATTTTTCTTGCACTAATTTCTGAACTGTTGGTCAGTGTTATTCCTTTGTTTTTAGTAATATGTCTGAAAATCTAGTGTTTAAAAATATTAAGCATGCTTAACCTTGGGATCACAAAGGAAATTAAAAAAGAAGCAGACGAGATTATGTACTTACTAAAATGGTGAGGGAGCATTTAGAAGTAACTGTTCATCAGATTATGGTGGAGGATATAGAAGTGAAATCACAGGGTTGGATTGGAAGTGACCAAAATATTTGAACAAATCAAAGCACATATACAGAAATAATTTCTGTGGTTTTCCCGGTTATATTTCCTTTTATTCCTAATTGGGGGCTAGTTTTATGGCTTTTTAAAGCATTCACTGTATAAGTGAAATTGTTAAAATACTTGTTAAATTATTAACCAGGGCCCAGGAAAACAGGATTCCAAAGAAATAAATGTTTTAATATGAATTCTTCTTCAGATGTTCATATTTTTTATATA